AAAAAAAAAAAAAAAAAAAAAATCACGATGCCTTATTTGAGATGTTGAGAATGCTTTACTCCACGTTGCAACTTGGTATGATTTTATTATTTTTTTATTTTTGTTTCTTCTTTCAGATGAGAATTGCATCCATAGATTTTAGTATAGATTTGCTATTTTCCCATGAGGATGTTAACCGTTTGGTTAATAAAGTAGTAAGCATTGAGGAGAATTCGAAGCAAAGACATAATGGTCCCCCAGTTTATCTAACCACATATAGTTACGAACATTTGCACATATAGACATGTGGACTACCTTGATGCTATTAACAAGTATAATTTTGTTACCATCCTCCTCTTTTTAGCATGAGTTGTGCGCTGAAAACAACTTTTCCATTTTTATATTAATCGGATCTTATTTAAATAATTATAGTAATACAAAAAATGTAGAAAAGGTTGAAATGGGTATAGAGTGCGGGTAGAATGATCATACATATATATATTTTTTTTTGTGTGTGTGCGGCTATTTTTCGTAGAACTATTTAGAGACATGGGAATCTTCTTTTATACCAATGACGTGAACAAGGATGGTAATTCATGAGGAGCAAATTATCCTTAGTCATTTGTCTATCTGTTCTTTCATAATGAGAGCTCTCACAAATTCGTATTTCCTTTTTTCCTCTTTTAAGATTTAATTAACGCCTTGTTTATGAATGAAGACATAAAACTTTCCAAGAAAGGATGCAAAACTATAACCTGGGGAAATGATTCGAAAATATTTGACACCTTCCAAATTGTAATTAGACTTTTTTTTTTCCCCCCCTCCCCCTCGTATTGGATTAATATGTGTCTTCTTAAATGTCACCACTATTTTGTTTTGCTTATTTTATTTATTTTGTTTTTTTTATTCCCCGATTTGCAGAACAATGAGTGCTACTCCCGAAAAAGATTAGAGTATTTTTTATCTGAGTATTTTTTTTCACATGGCTGAAGGTTTGCCTGTTTTTTTGTATATGTTTTATTAATACCTACATTTAGTGTTGCACAATTTTTAATGATTATACCTTTGACATTTTTTGTGCATATAGCCAAAGCTGTAAAAGCTGAAAGAAAAAATGAGAAAAATAAGAAAGAAAATAAAAAAAACGTTTATTGATATTTGTGGAAGCGCGAAAGATTTTTTTTTTTTTTTCAACTTTTTTTTTACGTTTCTCCTTAAATGTGACAAGGCTAAATTTCCTTTTTAAAGTAACAATATACAAAATTTACGAAAAGGGAAAAAGACAGTCATCGCTACGACTGCCAGGCAGAATGTGTAAAAATTAGGAAATATATACTTGAATAATTGTATGAGCATAGGGAAATAGAGAAAGAGAAATTTTAATAACGTGTACGCGTGTACACGTGCACATGTATAAGTAGGCCTATATAAACATTTCTGTAGCAGGGGGACACATGCACCGTCCAACGTAGAGTATTATTGTAAAGTCAAAAATAATCTTTAAAAATATAAATAATTTTTGTAAAGAGAAATCCTTCCCCCCTCCCCCATGTTATAACACATGGATAAAACTAGCTCAAACTTGGACATTCCTAATGACATTCCAAAGAAAAAGGATAAGCAGGAAGTTCCTGCTTCTGAAAACACACAAAATGAAATTTTAGAAAAATACGATATTTTTTCAAATGTGTATACCTCAAGCGATAACCTGAGTTTTGTAGATAGCGAGGAAGACACCTCATCTAAAAATTTAGGTTTCTTGGAATTTTTTCTCTTCTATTATACTATGATGAGAAAACTTTTATTTGCTTAGCAACGCTTTTTCCTTTTAGATGCCCATTCGGCATGACAACATTGTTGCTCCCGCATTTTAATTTTCACACCTACGTGCAGATGACTTGAAAAATAAAAATATTTTGAGCCTAACTGTCCACAACATCATAAATATATACCCCAACAATGAGAGGAACAGAGAGTTTAAGAAGTACAAGGTTGTGAAACATTTTTAAATACCCCCCTTTTTTTTGCGCGCGCGGCCGTATGGGGATAAGCATGTATATATATAAATGTACAGTGGCATTTGTGTGGGATAGGCCATTGCACAAATGTGAAAGCCCTCCTTCGCTTTTACCTGCAGCAAAAAAAAATTGAAGAAAAAAGGAAGAAGGAGTACGATGAAGAACGAGAGATAATCGAACAGAAGAAAAAAATATATGAAGAGAAAAGACGGAAAAAACTGCACATATATAACGTAGAGAAAAAGAAAAAGAAACTAATAGAAAAGGAAAAATACAATAGGGAAAATATAGAGTATAATTATTTAATGATCTCAAGCCATTTTGAACATTTAATGGACAATGGGAACCACAGTGATATTTACTTTTCCTTTCACGATATGTACATTTCCCCCATGAGGTTGTACTACTTTGCAAGTGCAAGTGTGGATCAAATTTATTATTTAGGTAAATGCGCAAAGAAGAACAAAAACGGAAAAGTCTATTCAAAAATTAGTGCAGTGGGTATATGTATGTTTTATTGTAGGCATATATGCGTGCACGTGTATTTGCTGTGTACTACCTAAAAATGCTCTCCCGCTTCACTTTTGTCGGCACCTTTAATGTGCGCTTCAGATTTATCACGAAAGTGGCTTCCAGACAACTATGTCTCTATCATACTTGAATTGTGCTCACGCAAGAGGGTAAAAATTTTGAATTTGTCCTTCAATAAAATAACGTCCAAGGGGTTAGGACACTTCAGCAAGTTTTTATCGGTAAAGTGGGAGGGGCCAAAAGGAAAAAATATATATATATATGTATAAAATAAAACAACGCACGATGTATACCCTATAATGATGCACTGGGATGGAGGTAAATACGAAGGACACCGAAAGGGGCCACCGTACCAGTAGCGCATCATCTGTTCAAACTACTAATTTGTAGGAGAACAAAGTGCTGTTTTGTCTTAACCTGGAAAATAACGACTTAACAAACAGAGGACAAAATTCCGATGAACTCAATAAATTTTTCAAGTCTATAAAAAATAATAAAGGAATAAAAATATTGAATTTGGCTAACACAAATATGGACAAGGTAGGCCTTCTGCATTTCCCAAAAAAGGATGATAACAATTTCTGGCAAACGTTGCGTTACTGTACCAATATATGTGGGCACAATTTTGTTGTTAACATTTCAGAGCAATGGGGATAGTTTGTGCGAAATGCTACAGGCGAACAGTTCCATAATCGAAATGAACTTTGAGAATAGCAATTTTAGTAAGTTATAGCATTGTTGATTGTCTGCCGGGAACGGATATGGACGTAGAAGCCTTTGATTATTGTTGAATTCCGTTTGTCTCATTTTGCTCTGTGTCGCTGCATTTGGTTCCTTCTGTCTTCTCAGCGCGGGATCAAGATTGCCAAATAATTAACTGCCTAATACGCAATAAAAACATATGGATAAAACAAGCCGAGATAGAGAAGCAAGAAAATGATAAAATGGAAAAGGAGGAAAGCTACATGCACGCGTACCTTATGTCCGTAGAATCGTCCATGTAATAATTGAAATAAGGGGAAATTAAAAAGGCAGAGGAGTAGTACATCTGGTTTTGTCCACATACATGCTGGTGCCTGCGGAGCATATCATTGTTCCTACTTAAAACAGTTCCATTAAGCTCGTTTGACATTAACAAAATTGCTCATTTGTTACCTCTTATCTACACCTTTGTCTATTTTACCATACGTTTTGCCATTTCACCCTTTTAGAATTGAAATTGAAAATAGAGAAAACCGAAAAAACTTGAATAAAATGGTAAAAAAAAAAAAGGGGAAACCGTTGAAAGGAAGAACGATCGGACAATTCGCTGCATGAATGTGTTGTTTTTACATACTCTTCTATTTGCACACACATTATTTGCGTAATTCCAAAAAAAAAAAATACAGATATACGTTAATATGTGGAGAGAGGAAATAAAACAAAAGGAGTTGAGGGAAGAAGCAATTCTTGAAACCCTGGAGAAGGTAATGCTGTTCATTTATGCGGCTACTTTTTAGCCAAATAGAATACATGGCACTAAGGCATTTGTGTGTACATGTATATGCACATATGAGCGCGTCAGTACCAACTGGTTTTTTTTTTGTTTGTTGCACATAGGAACATGAGAATAGGATAAAGAATGCCAGGAAGAAAAAAAAGAAAAGGAAGAAGAAGTGAAAGTTTATGGAGGACCGTTCCTTTCATGTACCACTCTTTATATTAAGAGTGATATGCATGTACATGTACACATGAGAAGCCTTCTCTAAATGTGGACAACTTAAAATGGTGATTCTCCTTTTTTTTTTTTTTTTTTTTTTTTTTTTTTTTTTTTGTTGTCTTCTTTCATAAGCAGTTCATGTTGTTCTATTACAGATTAAACATACTTTCTCATCGGAAACCCGCTAACGCGTTAGTAAAACAACTCGAGCGCAAGAGTGATCGTAGAAATGGTGCGCCGTTTTATGTTTTTAAATATATACCGGGTCCTAAATTAACCTTCACGTTTAATTATGGACGGTACTTTGTGCGTGTGCCCAAGAGGTTCCCCTCTTCGGTCCACTTGGTTATTTTTATAATAAGGTTGTCTCGCAACAACGTTTTAGTTATATTTTAAAAAAAGAAAGGAAAAAAAAAAAAAAAAAAAAAAAAAAAAAAGAGGGGGGGAGGGAGAATTCACGAATGCCTATGTTAATTTATTATAATAATTTTCAAATTTTTATGAAAATTGAATAAACATATATAGGCAAATGTACACATACGCATACGTAGGTGCGTACATGTGTGAAATCGCATACATATGTGGAGGCACATCCATACGCACAGATTCGTACATATGTAAAAGCACTGGCACCTATGGAACATATGCATTCATATAGTATACATTCACATAGTATATATTCACGAAAGAAATCGTAGAATATATGATCTTCCTTCTTTTTTAAAATAAATTCGTGCAAAATACATATGCTACTTAAAATCTCATGGATATGACTCTAATGTAAAATATGGGACAAAAGAAAACTGAAACAATGGAAAAGCAAAATGGAAGACGTAAGAAGGAGGGCGAGAAATGAAAGCCTTTATGAGCACGAAAATATGTTGTGTGCTCTAACAATTAATTACACATAATTTAATGAATTAAACTTTTAATGATCACAATGTCTATATGTGTATATTCACATATTGCATGAATCGATACATACACATATATTTCAATGTTAAAATATAATATGTATTTATTTATGTAATTTTTTTTGTTTTTCTTTTTATGTCTTTTTAACAGCACAGGTATACTCTTGAAAATACCAAAAGCATAATAGTACACATACCCAATTTTAATATTCCCATTACAATATGGTTTTATTCATATTGTCTTGGGGCAATATAGGTATTGACAATACTTGCTGCTAAGTAACAAAAAATGAATTGTAGAAAACATAGCTCACACATATGATGGGCTGTGAGTTATGTTTGGACTAAAAAAAAAAAATATATATTTATGCAATAAATAAATAACAAAATAAAATAAATAATATACTAACATAATACAAACTGAAAAAAATCGAGCCCTCCTTAGTTTGAAATATTCGCATAAAGAAATATTCATGTGGTATTTTTCTTATTACAATTGGGTGATATTTTATTGGTGGATTTACATTATTTTATTCATTTATTATTAATATTTTTTTTTTTTTTTTGGAACAAGGAAAATAGAAATTTCTCTCCAATCTTTAGATAACATTTCGGACGAGTATGCCTACTGGAAAAACATGACTTTAATCGTAATCTTGAATAATGTTGTTTGAAATCAAATACTCCTTTTGGTGATCATACATTTTAAGCCTCTCTTCTGCGTATAGGAAAAAATCAAATTCGTTGTAACTTTTGGTTTGATACCCTCTAATGATGGACCAAAATCCCCATAACAAATGGGCACCCAACGCTTGAACTTCTACTGCC